TGGAATATTCGCAATTGACACTTACTTTTTTTTAGAGTGTGGAGCAAAACTTGACTAGGCTATATTCGACAATCTGAATTATCAGCTGGGCACAGTTGAATTTGACTGAGCGCTCACTTAAGCTGTCTTTGGTCATATTATAGAGCTGCCAGATTGCCATGTTCTGGCGTTGCCACTTGTCGATTTTCAATATATACCTAATATGATACTTAAAGACAAATATTAGCAACAAAAATGTTGCCCTGGATGGGTTTTACAGATTTTCGAGAGCTTTTCACGCGGATAAAAAAACATGAATATTTTAAAAGACAAATTGTTTGTAAATCCTGTTCCAAAATGAATTGAATTAAAAATTTAAATACTTTATATTGAAGGCACCATCTGAGGATTTAAAATTTCGACACGAGACTTAAGAGCATTAAAAATTCGTATTACCCCAGTTGCCCAACACTCTTTCTTGTTGTTTTGCTTGGCAATGCGGCGCCTTAATTAAAAAGCTGCACGCCGTTTTGCAGCACTCAGTGCAGTTGGATCAGTTGGTTCATTGAAGGGGTTACGGGTCGAAAACAGGGGGGGGGGGGGGGGGGGGGGGGGTAGAATTTGCTGGTGCGAATACCGGCAGTAGTTGTATTTATGACTTGGCACGCAGCGCGCAGGCATGATTTACAGTTTATTGAGAGAAACAAAGCGAGCGCCAAGAATTAGCCGCAATGGCTCATCAATCATTTGCTGCAGCGGGGCAAGGGTAACGGGGTGAGAGCAGGACGAGGCCGTCGCCGTCGTCGTCGTCGTCGTCGTGGCCCACCTTTTTAGCTGTAATCCTTTTTGGGGCAACGGCACTTGGGCACTTATGACTCGACTGGCTTTATGGCCATATTATGCTTAATAAAGTTGCCTCTTTGTTGTTGTTGTTGTTTTTACTGCTGCCTTTTTTCACTCTGCTCGTTTTTTTTTTTTGCGCTTTTTTTTTTTATCTATGCATCGGTTCAGAGTTTTATCTGCGAGTCGCGTCATAATGGAGCACAGCCATTGAGCAGGCGCTCTACTCTGCTCTGCTCTACTCCTGGAGCCGACCGCGTGATTTATGTGATTACTTCAATGCGGCGGCGTTGCGCCAAAAAAAAAAATAGCCAAAAAGAAACAAACAAACGTCCAAAGAAAAACAGAGCAAGAAACATAAAAGTATCACGCATAGAGAGAGGCCCATAGAAAAGCCATTGAGGCATCGTCCAAAATTTAAGTACATAATAATAAACTGGGCGGCGGCGGCCATAAAATGGACATTGACTGCAAACATTTTGCGGTCGAAAATTGTCGTCTGTCAGCATTTGTGAAATAAATATGCATTTATGCATAAATATTTTTGTTGCCTCAATTTGCAATTAACACTTGTGCCAGGCGACATATTCGCACTCTCTCTAAATACTATTCCTCTCTCCCTTACTCGCTCTTATTTTATTTATGCATATAGTTAGGGGCTCTTGATTCAGAATTATTTCTCCCCGTCCTTCTATCTCTGGCTCTATATATATTTATCTCTATCTCTATTCGTATATCTATCTGTATCTCTATTTCTACCTCAATCCATCTCAATCTCTATATTACCTCCACTGAATCTTTAGTCGCGTCTCTCTTTCTTAGACCATAGAAATTTCTCAACATAAGAAATTGTCTCTCTTTTTTTTTCTTTTTTTTCTCTCTTTCTTTCTGTCCATCTCTCTTACACTCTCCCTCGATCAACTTCTTTTTCAATCTTTCTCTCCTTCTCATCGTTTCAATGTTTTCTCTGTCTCTCTCTCTCTCTCTCTCTCTCTCTCTCTCTCTCTCTCTCACTCTCTCTCTCTCTCTCTCTCTCTCTATCTCTCTCTCTCTCTCTCTCTCTCTCTCTCTCTCTCTCTCTTCTTCTTCTTCATTCTTCACTCTTAATTCCGCTCGGTTAATGTCTTTTTCAATCTTTGTCAATATGTCCTCTCTTCTTATCGTTTCGCTTTTCCTGTCAACATTATTGTCCCTCCTAAAGTTTATCTACATGTCAATGCTTTTCTTCCATTCAACTAATCCCTTTTCTCCTAACGCCTCTTTTACTCGATTTCAAAGTTTTTCTCTCTCTTTCCATATCTTTTTCGTAACATAATTGCATTTATAAAACATGGAACCGAACCCAACGACGAGGCACTAGTTCCAGCAATGAACCGAACCACTCAAACAATATTTTGGATTTGCAGACATGAGTAATATTAGTGTATGATCGATCAGACAAGGGATTTTTATATAAGAAGAGCACTTTTAAATATTTCCTTGGATTTCCCTAACAGAAGTCTAACTGTTATTTAATCAATGCCTAGGCTGGGCTCATCCAATTTACAGTTGACAGATTTTCCGTGCACATTGAGTCACCGATAGGTGGCGCTTTGGCTGGCATAAACATTTATTCGTTTTGTATTATTTGAGCGTATTAAATGCCAGTTTGTTGAATGTAATTTAATATTTATAATATGCACACAATATGCTGCCATTATGTTTGCATGATCTGTCAATCTAGCCAATTGCCAAGGCACGCCCAACGCCAACTCAAAAAAATAAACAAAAAAACAACACAAAGCAATGAAGGCAGTCGGAAAAATTGAGAAAAACAAGAAAAGCAAGAAAAGCAACCAAAGCGCAAAGTGCTGCTATCTATTTATATCGCTTTTGGCTTTTGCCAGGCGGGCGCTAAAAAGAAACGCTGAAAACTACTAACGAACGACACCTGGAGGCGCCTCCAGCTGCGAGACCCGCACCTGGTTGGTGGCACTAGCGTGTGCCGCCTTTTTCGCTTCTTGTTGTTTGCATTTGTTGTCCATTTCTTTATTTTTGTTTCTGTGTTGCGATACATACACCGACCGAAATTGTTGCTGCTGCTGTTGCACGAATGTTGTAAATCAAAAAGTAGGCGAGTCACACGAAGGCTCCTGCTCCCGCTCCCGCTCCTGCGCCTGCTGCTGCTGCTCGCTCAGGTTAAGGCACAGGATTTCAGCTGCAGCTGCGGCGGCACAGGCTCAGACTCGCAGCGCCTATTTGACTGGCAGGCCGAGCGGATAACGCTGGCAATTATCGCGCTTGTGCTGCACGAACAGCGGAAGCGGCAGAGGCGCCATCATGTTACTACCACCTCTCCCACCCCCCCCCCCCTCCCACTCCAACTCGTACCCCGCCAGCCAAGCAGCACCCCCCCAAAAACCAAAAAAAAATTAAACCAAGCGAGCGAGCCTAGCGATGCCTTTGGTTTGCTGGCATCTTTTTGTGCGCTGCAATTGTTAACAACAAAAAAAAAAAAGAAAAAACCAGCATAAGTTATCCACCTAATGCCGAAGTTGAAATACCCTTACAGAGCTAAAATAGAATTATGATGTTAAGATAAAGATTTCCTAACATAACCAATTTGTGCCAAATCTCCTCTTCTCTCCTCTCTGTCAGCTTTTTGATGAGATAATTCCAAAAAGCAAAATACTGCCGTGATGCTTAAGGTATTGCATATACTCTAGACTATAGACCAGACCTCGACTAGGTCATCAACTAAAATTCAGCTCTATTTTATGAATTTGGATAAAATTTTCTTGAACATAAGGTTTTATAGGATATTTTCTTTCAAAGTGTTACATCCTATGTTACCGATATATCATACCCGCTGCATTGCTATTGTTAGTTGCTGTAGCTTGTCCCAAAATATGGCCCAAACACCAGCCCTAGCCCCTCCCCGCAGTCCCAGTCCCAGGCAGTCAGTCAGTCATTGAAGTCATTTATTGCCACCAATGTTGCACGTTGTTTTTGCCGAACAACTGTACTAAGTTTTGTGCGCTGCTGGCCGCTTTTTTGTTGCAAGTGTGTGTGTGTGTGTGTGTGTGTGTGTTGATAGCGCCTGGCCGAGAGTCCTGACCGTTTCGTGTGCAGGATGTGTTTGCAATTTGTGGACACGCCGACCGTCATTTGATTGCTATTGTTGTTGTTGTTGTTGCCGCTGTCGCCGCAGCCATTGTCGATTTTCTCTGCATTTTATATATTATATTGTTGTAAAGTTTTTATGTTGATTCCAGTCTCTTTTTTAATTATATGCGAATGGCATATGAAAAAGCTTTGAATAAACAACTGTTTTTTGCAGCCAAATGAAGTGGTTGCCAATGTGTTTGCCCCTTCAATTTAAGAGCGCCCCGACCTGAGCTCCAAGATTGTAAGCACCCCAAATCCAAAGTTTTTTTTTGCCCATATTCTATTAGACAGCGGCCGACCGCCCCGTTGATAAGCCAACTGTTTGTTTTCTTAGCACCACGCGATAGTTAACGTGCTGGTATCTCGTGCTGATTTTTTGTTTTTTTCTTTTTTTGTTTGTAATATCATGACATCCATAAAATGTTCCAAGGCAAACATGCCACCGAACACACACTTAGACACATACATACATATGTGGGCCATTTTCCTGCTGACATTTGAGGCGCGAGGTCTCATGAGACAATCAAAATTAAACGACTTTCGGCGTTGACATGCAAGACGCCAAAACAGCAACACCATGCCAATGTGTTCTGAAAAACTTCCAAAAATTGAAATTTATGCCATCTTTTTGCTTTAGCAAAGATTTGAACCCGAATTTAGCCGTTACAGCAATAAAGCCTTGCCAGATGCGGTAAGCTATTTCTTGCTGGCTAAATAAAACTGACTGGCAACGCAGCACAGCTATTATTTGATTGGCAACGCGTACAATAACAAAGTGGCAGCGCTTTGAAATGAGCGCAATTTCACAAGACATATTACATTTTATCAGATGCTGTTTTACAAATAAAACGCATTATAAAATGACACTGCTGCAACTTTATGCAGTAACCTTTTAACTTAAACACACACAAATGCTTGTACTTACTTTTAGTTTTCAGAGCCGGGAACTTATAACGTTATGACTTGCATCTCTCTGCCTTTGCTTTACTCAACACAATTCCAAAACATTTCAGTCGCTTGTCAACTAATAAAACTAATATACAGTAGCTATGAAGCCCGGACACATTGTACTTTTTGTGTTATTAAATTTAATACACTTTGTCTTTAACTTTATTCGTCTTTACCGCCGCAAGCTGGAAACTGATAACGCCAACAAAAATGACGGCCTCGGAGCCTAAGCAGTTGCTCACGCCGTCAAATAAAATTATTGCAGCCCTGGCACATGGAACAGCTGTTTAAAACTTTGTTTCGAAAACACAAATATGGAGTGCGTAAGTTGTGCAACTATAACAGATAAATACAAATGCAGCAAGTGCTTAGCACCTTAGTAAGTAGCTTGAACAAGATGCATCGATTGCTATTAATGACTGCCTTTGCAGCTGCTCAGTTAATTGCTACAAGGAACACAAAACACAGCCACAGTGTACGGAAATTGCCGCAGTCAAGCAAGCACCGCAGCCTGCCAAAAACGTGACCGAAGAAGAGCCCACAATATATGCACCTTTTAGCACGGAGGATACTGTGCCGCTTGACAAGCTGCAGCAATTGAGTAAAGTTCTTGGCTTCAGTTACGCTTTTTCATAATTCTAATAGATGTGCTTGCAGAGAACTCTGAACCATTGCGGCAACTGCTCCATAATCCACATCTGCGTGCGCTGCTTCAGCAAATCGATGTAGCGTATAATGCAAACCTGGCTATGACCGCTGCCATGCAGGAGCCGCTTTTCGTGGAGTTCGCCAACGCTTGTCTGCAGGTCGTGGAGCCCATGACGGACGCGGAGCGTGCGGAGCTGGCGCTGTGCAGTTGAAAAGTCTGTTGTGCCCACGTCTCGTACATGTATTTAAAATTATGCCATAATATATGTAGTTAAATTTAAGTAAGCGTGTATGTTGACACTTTAATGAATGCCTGCGCATTGTGTACTATTAGCGCACATTTATTATATAGTAAAGACTTAGCAATTAGACAAATATATATTTTTTTTTTATAATCTACTGTTTGGCATTTTCGGCCGCACGCCTGACTTTGGCCCAGTTGTCGTCGTCGTCAAATAGATCATCGAAATCATTATAAAAATCAGCATGTACATGTTTGTCATTTGTGGGTGCGGGCAAATGATCCATCATCATGCCTGAAGCGCTTCCCGACTTTAATTATTTGTATAATAAATATCACTTAATATTTTTTTTTTCCAATTCCTTTTCTATGCTCACCTCTTCCATGTCCATGTAGCCGGCGCCCTCCGAGAACATCTCATCAACGGCGAGCGATGGTTTCATGTTTAAATCCATTTTGTTTTGTGCTGTTTTAATTTCTTTTACTAAAAATTCTGTCTACAATTGTTTTTATGCTTTGTGGTGTGACAATTAGCAGTGTTGCCAGATTGGAGTCAGTGCTGCATCTGTTACTGTCATCAAATTAACGAATGTCTGGCAGCACTGTGCGAATCAGCTGTGCATCATCCGGCTTTTGTTGAAAAAATGGTCCGCGTTGGCTTACAAATCTCAGCTACTCTCGAAAATATAGAAAAATTAGAAACGCATTCCGATTATGCGTTTTTCTTAAAGCTAACCTGCAGCAATTGCGGCGAAACATCGGAGAAATGGCATGATATCACCGAATCGGAGCGTGTGCAGCAGGATTCTCGCAATGCGGCGGGCTTTAATTTCTATATGAAATGCAAAATGTGCGCACGGGAAAATAGCATTGATGTTGTGGAAAAGTCGAACGGTAAGCAAAAACTCCAATAGGAAAACGATTACTAACATTTTGCCTCGGTTACAGTGCCGTACACAGCTGAAGATGCGGGCAAATTCAAAACAATTGTGGTTTTCGATTGCCGCGGCGTGGAACCTGTCGAATTTTCACCCCGATCGGGCTGGAAAGTGCTTTCCTCGGAAAATGGTCAAGCGTTTGAGGATGTGGATCTATCCGAAGACGATTGGGTGGAGTACGATCAGAAAAACAACAACTCGGTGGGCGTTTACGAATTTGCGTCTAAATTCTTAAAACTCAAAAAGTAAAATCCAATTTTAGATTTTCTTTTTCACGTTAAACTCGTCTGCCAATAAAGCATTTGTTAAGAAATAGAAAATTCTTTTTTGACTTGAGAAGCATTTTTCTTGCAGATTTACTTTTCACATAGAAATTTAAGCGTACGTGAGGTCTAATAAATATAGTATATAAAATATAGATAATTTAATATTTAGTCATTTAATGTTAGGCTGAGGCGCTTTAAGACACTATGTTTTATGTTATGCAAAAATATATATAGTATACATATATCCATATACATATATATATACTCCATTTAGCGATATCGTAGTAATTATCAGACATACAGATGTATTGTACAATTATAAAATATATAACTATAGTTATGTAGCATAAAGGAATAAACACAACGCCACTGGTGAATAGAGATAAAGATCTAATCCCTAAAGTTATAAATTAAATTAATGAATGCGTCAGTAAGATTACATTGTTAGATTAAATCAAACAGAGAGCAAATTGTAACCTAAACTTTAGGATCTACAAATTTAAATTCTTGTCTTCCTTCTAATGACATTTATCGGCCACAATGGGAAAGCGTACGACGCGTATCTCGTTGCCATAGTCGCAGACAACTGAGTCGCAAGCGAGCATCATGAACTTGGGGCATAGCTGCAAATTGGCAAAGTCCAGCTTGACCTCGCGCGCCGGCTGACCCGTGCGCACATCCCACACAATGAGCGAGCCTAAAGAACAGAACACAAATTAGCATAAATAATCAATAGGCATTTTTGGCATTCTCCTACCCATCTTGCTGGTGACCAGCAGCGAGGGCGTCAGCATTAACAAGCTCGAATAGGCATTCGAGATTTTGATGGTGGTCAGCAGGTTGCCCTGAAATCGTTCCCACACACAGATGCGCTCGTCGGTGCCCAGCGAGATGACATAGCTGGGCGCACAGGCCAGGCAGCTGACCGCCCCGTCATGTGCTTGTATATTGTACATGCAGGCGCCCGTAAATAGATCCCAGACACACAGCAGGCCATCCTGCGAGCCAGAGCCGCCAGTGCCGGGCTGCCAGCGATCAACGAACAGGCAGGTAACAGGACCACAGTGCCCATGTAGGGTGTACTCCACATCTGATTTGTTCAGGCAATACACCTGTAAGCAATGAATAGACATTAAGTTCAGCTTTCTATTTAATGTACTTTAACGCACCTTTAGCGTGTGATCCTGACTGCCCGTGAAGACCATGTCGTTGACCACCTGCATGCAGGTAATTGGCTGCTGGTGCGCCAAACGCACACCCTCCAGCGTTATCTTCATTTCCTCCTTGGTGGTTTTCTGGGCCGCATCCTGTTGGCGCTGCTGTTGCTGCATCATCAGCCCGATGCTGCCTGTGGAGCCGGTGCGCACGTGTGCTGTAAAGGAAGTGAAATATTAAAAAAGGGCCAACACTAAATATTTATGATTTGTGGACAAAATTATTATACTCTCCACGGGCAGTGGGCTTTTAAATGTTGAAACTTACTGCGTCTGTAGGCGGATGTAAAGCCCCAATCGATCTGCTTGCCCTTGTAGTACGTTTCCAGGCGATAGAAATCCAGCCGTCCATTCAGGCGGGCCACAATAACACGATCGCCGTTCAAATGAATGTGCGTAATACCCTGATTACGCTTGGCATCCTCCTGATAGGCACACTTGAGCACACCGGCTGGCACCTCCCACAGCTCGACCCGCCCATTGGCACAACCAACGGCAATGAGATTATCAAAGTAGTCCAGACACCAGACCGGCGATGTGGGCAGCTTGCGCAACATCGTCTGGCCATCCTGACGTGGATGCTCTATTTGCATATCGCTGCGTCCAATGTTGGCCAGCTGCTGGCCGGTGCGGCCATCCCACACGCGTATCTGACCCTTGAGACAGCAGCTAATGATGTAGTTCCCATCGCTGGCCAAACACTCGATGCGATGCTTGTGGCCGGCTATTTTAGTGGGCACACCCTCCAGTATGTGTTCGGTTTGCTTGTACGGCGCCTCCGATTCGTGCCAGCTGGAACGCCATTCGGCATAGTTGCGCGTGCAGATGCAGCGATAGAAGACAACCATCGTATAGCAGAGCACAAAGATGCTGATGCAGCACAGCAAAATGGCAAAGAAGATCTCCATGGGACTCTTGGGCACTAACGGCGTACCGCCAGCCATGACCATGGGCGATTCCCGACGTGCATCGTCATCATTGAAGTCCAGAGGATCCAAGGCGGCAGCCAAAGCTTTCCATTGAAAGTTCTGCTGCAGCTGCTCCTGCGGATTGCGCAAGACCGTGGCCAGTTCCGGGGATATGGCATGCGTCAGCCGTATGGTGGGCAGGAGCGTCACATATTGTCCGCTCAGCGAGACATTGTACTGCTTCATAATGGTCGACCAGTGAAAGTTGGACAGAAAATAGTTTAGCTCAAAGTTGGGATAGCGCAGACGCATCATCTCCGCCTCCGTCTCATTGATATCATGCAACGGCTGCTCTGTTGTTGGAGTCACATAGCTGGCGGTGCTGCCCAGACGCTCGCCCGTCGGCTTGAAGCCCTTGAGAAAGCTGCTGACGGCGCCGCGCGTCGCCTGCAAATGACGCTGCAGCTCGTAGGCGGTGCTCATGGTGCCGTTGCTCTGCATGCTGAACAGCTGCTCCAAGCAGCCCGAATTGTACAAGATGGAGCAGATCCACACGATCATCCAGATCATGAAGGCGCGCTGAAAGAAACGTGTACGCGCCCAGAAGTTCACAATCTTGATGCGCTTGGGTATGCGCGCCTCCTGTCCCACATGTGCGGCATGCCCATTGACCAATTGGGCGCGTTCGCCAGCATCCGCAAAGCACAGCTTGGGATGTGATTGGGAGCGTTGGAAAGTGCCGGGCACGAAGGGCAACATGGGCGACGGTGCAGCGCCAAAGAAACGGAAATCCTGACGACCCAACGAACCGGCGCCAGCCTGTCCATTGCCCAGCGTACAACTGAGCATCATCTTGGGCAAGTGCTTGGCCTCCGTGGTGTATTCCGCACGCTTGATATTCATGGCCAGTATGGTGGAGAACAGCAGCATTTGCAGCATAAAGTCCGAGAGCAAGCCGACAATGGCAAACACACAAAACTCCTGGATAACCGGCACAAAGGTGGCCAGTCCAATGGTCAGGATGGTGATCTCCGTGAGCAGAGTCTTGGATATGTGCCAGCCCTCCTTGCTCAGGGCCTGCGCCACGCGTATTTTCACATCGAATGTCTCATCCATGGACACCACGCTCTTGGTTATAACCAGGCTATTTTCCAGGCCCACCAATATGACCAGATACGGGAATATATCCTTCGACTGCAGCGATATGGTTAGCCCGAAGAAGAAGCACAAGCCGAGCGACATCGCCAGGCTGCCCAACGTGGTCAGCACGCTGCAAAGCGCCAAGAGAACACGCGAACGAAACACGTCGATCTTGCGCACCGAGAAGTAGACATAGGCAAAGACCAAAACGAATGCCACGGATAGGGGCAGAAATTCCCAGATTTTCAACTCGCCCGGATAGAAGATGTACGTTATGGTCGAGGGCTCCACATCGGCTGTGGCCGGCGCTGTGGCGCTCAGTGGCGGATAGAAGCGCAACAGTTTCTCCTTTAACGTTTCCAAATACTCTGGATCATTTTTGTTGAGGATCAGCGTCATGGCGTACTGTATAATGCGGGAGCGGGCACGCAAGGGATAACGCTTGAAGCCAGTATCCTGCATGGGCAGTCCGAATAACATTTCCGCCGTCGAAACTTTCGATTTTTGCAAATTCTGTAAAAGAAAACAAAACAAACGATCTGATATAATGTTTTATAGATAATTGATCGACCGGCTGCCTCTTATCTTTGGAGTGCCCCCGGCCGTACTTTGGAACCGTAACGATTACTAAACCTTAAAATAATGAGGCCCAAGACGTGTGAGTCACATTGATTGGTAATGAACAAGTGTTGAGAGGGGATCAATCACTGTGTTACATGATTAATCATATTTTTTTTAGTCTCTAATCAACACTCTTTCAAAATCCACAAAACTTAAAAACCTCTTCAATAAACACATTTTTGATTTCTTGTTAATTTCATAATCTAAGAACTACCAGTATTTGCCACAATTTGAGGGATTCAATATAATCATTTATGATTTCCCTGTAATTTTTGTTAAATGCAAATCATATTTCTAACTTATCTAACACTTACCAACACTGTTGCCCACTTGCATATTTCCATAAAACTCGAATCAGCCCATACTATAATCAGGCACTCTTAAGTCTGACACTATTTGTTATTATTTTCACGAGGCTCTCATTATCTTATTCATTCTTAACAATTTCGGCTAAAGGCTTGTATTGTTCTCCTTATCATTTCCATTGTTAATATAAGTATTTCCATTGACTTATATACTTCTTATCTGCTTATTTTTAGAATGCCTCAAAGAATAGCTTCCTTGTTTGCAAATCAATTCACAGCCTTTATCGGCTGGGGAAACAAAAATGATATATACTCAGGAATTTTCTACAATTTATCTCAAGTTCAAGTGCCACGATTTTAAAGAAAAATCATATTTTCGAATCAAATTTCACGCTACTGAATAATTGCCAAAACAGTAATCTAATGACTCAGTTTCACAGAGCTAAGGTACTCGATAGATAAGTATCTATATATAAACAAATAGGCGCACACTCACATTCGCACACACACACACACACGCGGTGAGTCTCGACTGTGTATACCTTTTCATTAGCACAATCAACAAGTTAGAGTATAGTTGGATTATCGAGAAGAACAAACAAAGAACAAGCAAAGGCATGCACCGTTTAAAATCAAGACTTTGAATGCATTATGCATAATACCCATTGATACGACACAAGCACACATAGGCAAACACACAGTTGACCATCCATAAATATTTACACATGCGAAATTATTGCAGTGCGTTCAGCAAACGACCCCAATCGGCTTTTCATATGCAGTCAAGCCAAAGTTTAAATTTGTGAGCGCGTGGCTTCCTACAGTATAGATTCTTCAAGTTTTAAAAAACCGAATACTTTATTCTT